TTGCTATCAAAAATAATTCTGATATTAATACAAAAGAAACATTTTTAATGTCTTAAAGTATGTAGCTGCCGTCATAGGCAACTCTCGCATTCCAGTTCATTTTATTAGATATTTAAGGTTGAAACAATTAGTAGTTGAAATATTAAGAAATAAGAAATAAATAGTTATTCGTGTTTTGTTGATTAGATTTATATGTTTAGATGTGTTATTTGTGCTAATTGTGCAATTAGATAGGAACCTTTCCTATAGTTCCGTCTGTTGTTGCTAAGAGGGCTTTTTTTTGGCTGTCACACAGAAAGATAAATAAAAGAGTGCCTTCTTTGGACCTCCCCATGACGTAAAGATGAAAGTTTTATTCCCTTTGAGTGAGGCCAATGAGGTAAATGTTTTATTTTGTTTATTATCGTTGTATGTAAATACGCGACTGTTGCGTGATATTCCAGTGCAATTACCGCAGTGTGAAGTGTAATGTGTATTTTATTGATCCTTTTGTTGGAATGTTTCGTTATATATAATGCTTAAGGACTTTATTAAGAATATTCATTTAAGTTTGTATTTCTTTTTAGTTCTGACGGCATTGTATCGGCTGTGGTTGGACATCATTACATGTTAAAGCATGTCGAAGAATCCTCCTGTCCGAAAAAAAATGTCAGTTTAACCGCAAAGAACAAGTTGAGCTTTATTAAGACTCGAGGGGAGTAACAAAGTATCTACTGGAACAAGAAGGCACAAGTGGGCAAGAGATGACAACAGGGCGCTGTTGGAATGCTACTAAGTAACCTCGGCGGAACAGGTTACATGAAAAGGATATGGGACCTATTGTTCCAGCATTCGGGAAAAGGAACTGCTTTCATAGCTAGAGATACACAAGGTACAACACAAATGCTACAGCGAGGGGGAGCCAGGACGGCAAGTCATTAGGGAGATATCATTACCCCCACCCGAGATTGGGTACCTAGTCACAAGTGCGATGGGAAAAGGAGCAAACAGGAACTGGCCTCATGCCAAAACTGGAAACCTGGAAACTCCGTACCAAGATCTCTGAAGGTCTACCAGAAGATGTGAATGCAGCACTACGGACAATCCCTACAGGGACCATCACTGAGACTGATCAGCTGATCTACATCACGAAAGCAGTGATCAATGAGAGGCTTTGCTATAAGATGAACAGCCACCAGTGTTGGGCAAGTTACTTTGAAAAAGTAATTAATTATAGTTATTAGTTACTTCTTCAAAAAAGTAACTGAGTTAGTAACTGAGTTACAATATTCTAAAAGTAATTAATTACTTGAAAAGTAACTGTTGCGTTTCTTTAAAAAAACGTTTAACCCTCTGGGGTCCAGGGTGTAATTGGCCATTTTAAACCACATTTCACCTTTAAAAACTGTTTACTTTGCCTTATTTGGTATCTTCCTTTTCAGCACAACCTCACGTGTCTGAATTTACAGTTATGTTTTCATTTTGACATACTGTATTAACACAATTGATCTAAAATCAGACCAAAAACATAAAATCAGTTATATATATATCGGTTATATTTTTTTTACTCTAACAACCACAAACATGTTTAATGAATCATATTTCATAACTTTAAATGCAAATATAAATGGTCAATTTTAAAATCATATGCACAAGTTTGCAAACAAATAACAAAGTTATTTGCGTTCATTTACCTTTTACCTTGATTTTTTTTAAATAACCATTTCAAACTATTTACAGAAAAGTCAGCTGTTCTGTTTTCAATAAGATGCCACACAAATTATTTGTGCCACTCCAAAAACATAATTTCTGTCCACTATAAAGGAGAACATCACAGCCTGATACCTGCAGGTCTGACAGCAGCA